GTATTTTCAAATAATCCAATTGTATAGCTAGGGCTATTGTGCCCGGGAAGTAGCTCACAAATGCTCAGACAGAAGAGATTAAGTAAGGGTACTTACTGACTTTTTAAAAAATGTTTTTGATACGGAGGTTGTTATATATGCTGCATTTACCCAAATAACAGAATATTTTTAAAAATTTATTTTACATAGAAATCACTCATTCTTATGAGGATGCAAAATGCTCTATAAATGTTAGCTATTCAATTTAGTTTTAGAAGTACTTAAAATGATTTCACAAATTATTTCTCACTTCTCCATAGTGGTATATGGAGTTTACTTTTAGTTGGCAGGGTGAGGTGAGGCATGAGTGATAGTGGAAGCATTATCCAAAACTGGGGTGTGTGGTATTCACATTTTAATACTGATGACTAACATACATAGAGGCAAAGTAATCCCCCCTATGCTTACATTTTCTAATACCCAATTTTAAAATTACCTCAAAGCAATAAACAAAGCTACCGCAGTTTAATAATATGCCACAGAAATGCATATTTGAAAAATAAGGTCGGTATTTAGTGGGCTTCATGCTTTAATTGCAAAAGATATTTTTTGACATGGCATTTTGTCATAAAGCACATCTCTGCTAAAACTAAAAGTAACATATAGCTAATAATAAGCTGATATTCGATAAGTAACAAAGGTTTAATACTCTTAACCAGAAAGGTTAAGATGGCCACTAATTACTTTATAACAAAGAAAAAAAGTCATATAATTTTAGTACTCAAAGGGGCATTAGGGGCCATCTATTCCAGCTGCCCATTTAACAAAGGAAAGTGAAGCCCAGAGAGGTTACCAAGGTCCTACAACCAGCTAGTGGCACAGCTGGGACTAGAACCCAGGTCTCTTGGCTCCCAGTCCAGTGTATTAGAGCATACCATACCTGAAGTCATGGTTTCTCCTATAACACAAAAGTATAACGTAAAATGATAATAATGCTCAGAATGCATATTTCACTACTTCTTATGAAAGATGGAGAGCAGGATGTATTATTATAAGAGGGAATATCTTCAATGAAGGAAGTTAATTACAGTGCTAGAAACTAAAACTCAACTAATATAGCAAAGCAATAGCATTTACCTTAAATTTACGTCTCAGCTCTGCACAGCTGTTGAAGAACCACAAGTCTGCTCATGGCTGAAAATGTAACAAGAACAATAATGCGACCAGTTTTCATACCTAGGCTAAATTAAGTAGATTCTTCAATGGCTAGAAAATTGGCAATGTCTGTAATAAAAGGGTTTATGTACATGTATGTATATATAATCTTCCAGACTTTCAAAATCTGGATTATTTTGCCTTTGTTTTATTTTGTGTGTGTGTTAGTGTGAGCGCGCATGTATGTTTTCCCTTATTTATCACGCCTTACCTAGAAGTTAATTTTTAGAAAGTAGGAACAATTCCACACTCTAATTGGTCACCTCTCCTTATCATTACTCACCACTATTATATTTTCTCTAAGAACAACCAATAGGCCAAAGAAAAGAAACAAACAAAAATATCAGATACCGCCATCTTGAGCTCTTATTGATGCAACATGTTTGCTAGACTACACAGGTAGGAAAATAAGGATGAAACATCTGGCAATATTTAGGCTAATATCAACTCCCATTTACATCACACTCTATTATTCATCAATATGTCATTAATCAATGTGCCTACTGATTGGAACTATTCAATTGGTTTATCAGTTTAATGAATGTACTATGCAAACATGTTTCAAATACAGTCAGATAGCTGTGCACGAAAGTAAAAGCATTCTACAATTGGCCCTCAAGCTTATCAGATATGATGGTTTTCTCTTTCCATTTTGCATAAGACATGCCAATATTCCTAACATTTCCAACACGAAACCCTGAAAAAATGTAAATGAAAAAGTACTAGTAAATCAAGAAAAAAATACTAGGAATAACCTGACACCAGATAATTCTAAATTTGGCCCTAACTATGACAGAAGTCTGAAAAATACTGCATTCAAGTGTAAATTATTAATCCTTTTTAGGGTCTATTTTCTGGTGGCCTAAGCCACTGTGGAAATTATTTTGATGTAAAGCAAAAGTTTTATCTACCTTTCCCTTCAGCTTTTATAAAATAATTATCATTTCAAAGAGGTTTTTCATGAGAAACACATAAAGACTGTTTTGGATCACTACCCAAATTCTTCTAAGAAGTTCCCAGGAGGTCATCTAGAAGGTATGCTGTCTATGAAACCCATTAAAAACTTCCATGGCCTGTTAACACCAAACATCTTGTCTTTGCAAAACTGGAGAAAAGAAATGTTGAAACTTTCTCCATTAAAATCTCAAACTATAATTAGTTAATATGCTTTGTTGGTTATTGAAATCTCCACAAAGGCAGGCTGGACTCTTAGTTCAATAGTTGAGAGCAATAGGGGTGGGAGAAATTATGTTATAATCACATAAAAAGTTAATGAAATGTTACTTTCAAATTAATGGGTAAAAAATATTTAATAAAAAAAACACTGGCCCTTCTTTCTGAGCATAGTGGAAAAATTGTGCAACTTGTACCAAATAGTGTATACGGGAAGTGCAATGTTAAGTATAACCTAACACCCCCATTTGACAACACATGTGTGAGCTAATATAAAATGCCATTAGGTTTTTATTAGACTTATAATCCAGTCCTAACCTGTCTCCAGTTGCCAAGATAGTCAACTCTTCTGAAATACTAGGAAATTAAATGCATATAATAATATTATAATTATCATATATTTTGTTGGGGCAAATATATCATGTTACATTACTTTTAAATTCTTATTCATAAAAACCAGTCTCTACATCCATGAAAATATGATTCATGATTAAGAGTTTATACTAAAATAATAAAAAATAGCTATAACTTTTAAATCTGCACCGAGAAACATTCAGATTAATATGCATCATAAGTGAAACAATGCAAAGCTTTGTATTAATAGCAAGGAACAGAAATAGTTAAACTCCTAAAAATTATTTGCAAAGTATTTAAACATTCTTTTCATAATAACATAAAACAGAATATAATCAGGAACTTCTGCCCCAACATTCTTCATACAAACTTTGGTGCACGTATTATTTCATTGAGCAAAAATTTCCTCCATTTACACCCATTAAGCAATATCTATTCAAAAATTAAAATCTAAATGTTAGAATGATACTATCAAAAACCATCTCCCACAGACTTCTCTTCCCCTTAAACAAGAAATAACGCCACTCTAATAAAGCCAAGTCATTCACTTCTCAACACAGGAACCCAACCTCATGTAACCAGCAATGCTGAAACTCCCACTGAGCCTACATTTGAAAAGGAAGTTGCAATTTTTAAATACCCTACTTCATGTATTTGTCATTAAACATGGTAAAACAGAATCAACGATAAGGTTCTCTTTTAATATTGTTGTGAACCAGTTCTCTTTTATTCCCCTGTTTTTCAGTGACAGCTTGGTTTCTCAGGTATACTACACCTACATTTGAATGAAGATTTCCTTCCCTTAATCTCAAACCTGGGTCTTCCAGACCATTCCATTTCATTCCTGGAGGAAACAATCAAGTCTCTTCTGAAGTTGCACTGAGGATAAGTAATTCAATTGGTTGCTTTATGTAAATGGAGCTGTATTTTACCATTCCCATGTAAATTGCATGGATGACTTTCCTATGTGGAATTTGAGAACTGGGCTAAAATATTACCATTATTGTCACTCCTGCGTTTTATTATTTTTTAGGTGGGGTTGGGGTGCTGGAGAGGATAAAGTAGATCACCACAAAGTTCCTGCCTTTTTCACACATATGAAAAATAATTTGTGGAGAAAAAACAAATCATGAAAAAAAGTTCTTTAAAATTAGGTTGTTTCAGGAAAGTTTCACATTTGGCAAAAATAACATACTGTTGTATTTCAGACTCAGAAAAGAAAACCATATGAGGTTTGTTCCCAAAGAAAATATATTCTCATCTCAAATTCATCTGGGGACCATAAATTTAATCATGTTTCCAGGCACTCTCAGTGGTTTCTGGATTGTGTAGATCAGTGGTCTATAATTCCATGCCACACAAAAACTAAACCCCAGAAGGTACCTCTCAGGAGCCCTCTAACCTACCAACACCGATGAATATACTGAGGATCATAGGATCATTTGAAAACAGTGATCTAAAGATGGGCTATAAACTAATTATATAAAATTTTAGTTTTTTATTGTTAAAGTTAGCAGAAAGTGTTAGAGATTTTTTTGGGGGGTGTTATTGTTTTAAACTCACCAATCTTATAACATGGAAAATCTCTTTTTCAACAATGTTTTATTTAACTACAGATTCTGCCTCCCGAAAAATTATTTGAAACTTGCACAACTGCTGCATCAGGTGGTTTATTAAAAGTTTTATTTTTTAAAATCTACTTAAAATGTTGGCTCTATCATATATGCAAATGCCAAAGTATTTTTTAAAAACACTCCCCCAGGACAAACACACCAAAGAGGGACTACAAAGTAGAATTTTTTTCTAGCTGGAGTAGCAGCAAAAGCTTCTTGGCAAACTTGAGCAGTTGTGTTGGCAGCTGTGGAGTTTTTCTACATTTGTCACTTAGATACAACCCTGAAGAGCTAAGACTGCTTTGTTTTCTTCAACACCATTTTACTGTGACTTTGCTTTCACAGAAGAATTTTCACATTTTAACCTATTTGTGAATAAAGTCCCATGTAAATCTCTCAAGAGAGAGAGTTTTATACAAAGATCCTTTATGGCTATTTAGTCCAAATGTGTTTCCTGCATAAATTTTTGTAGTGAGTGACCTTGTAAACTTCTGCCATCTCCCCTAATATAAAATTATTTCCTTCTCTTGTAAAGAGATAGCAGTTCTAGTTTTGAATTCAAAATATCCTACATATACATACATAGTATTTTTCCTCTGTATAAAACTACATATATACATCTCTTCTTTATGAATTCAGCCCAAAGGACAGGAATGTTTTACTAACCTGCAGTGGTCTCTGTTTATCACTGCCCTTAGGAGATTTCAATCCACTTGTTTGCTGCTGTAAGAGAAGTTGTCTTGCTGCCTGTAGTGCCTAAAAGTAAAAAAGAAAAGTGTCTAAATATTTTATTTAAAGATAAGTTGACCGTTTTTCCCCCAACATTAAAAGACGTCAGTAGAACAAAACTTTACCACCTTTAAAATATATTTAAAAACCCTCCTCATATTAAAATTTTGGATGTACATGTAATCCTGCAGGCAATAAAGTTAATTTGTTTAAAGTGCTTGAAGAGAAAAAAATCATAAATTGCATCAATAGACTCATTTCCACAAGGAACTTGTCTTTTGAGTGTTCAACTAAAATGCCCACTCCCTTGTAAATTATCATTCAATTTGCATTTTCATATTACAATTTTGAAGCAAAAGCAGTAGACTTCAAGTGTTACCGGAAGCTGTAATTAAATTTGACAAATCAACATCAGATTATCTTGAAAGTGAATTAATAAGGATTTTCACCGAAGATTAAAAACACTTTTTTGTACTTACAATTCAAGGGGAAACCTCTCCTTTGACAAAATAAAGTGCAGTTTTAATGCCAAATAAAATTGAGTGGTTTCATTTGCATTCTTAGCAAAATCAGAGAACAAAGAAATTACCACTCAACCAATCAGGTTTGTTTCTGTGTATGACAGTATACCAATCAAAACAGAAGATGTTTTCATTTATTTTTATGTTTTCATTCCAACTCAGCAAAATTAAAACTTAGCATGAGGAAATAATGTAAGCATTTCCTTTATTGGAAAAAAAAAGCAGTTTAAATTAATTTCCTCTATAAAGTTCTTATAGTAAAATAAGTGCTAAAAGAGAGATGCTGAGAATTTTTGGAAAAAAAGGTAAATAAAATGAACTAATTTTAAGAGAGTTTATGACAAATCTACTTCAGTAGTTTATTTCCCCCAAATAACTGAGCTCTGTAAATAAAAGATATATGATTTTCAAATTTTAAAAAACAAAACAAAAACAAATCATTGTACTACTTTAAAAAAAGAAATCACAGTTCCACGAACATACAATGAGATCCTATGAGTTTTTCAGCACAGAGGAAATAGCATTAGATCAATATTCTCTTATGATAATAAAAATTCTCAACTGATAAAGAAAACTACAATTTTGATTAGAATCAATGATCTGGTTTTTAAGATAGTTTCTAGTATCCATGACAACAGTTGCTTTGACAAGATGTGCATATGGCATTACACTGCCAGCTGGTGTGAACAATGTTTGAACTACTACATTGAGATGCTGAGCAAACAGAAAAAGTTGCCACGTCTTAACCCTCAGGGAAGGCAGTCATCCCCTGATCAATTATGAAAAGACAGAGAGAGGGCTGCTCCAGTCTGGCTCCAAGCAAGTTTTCTGAGAAGGCAGGCAGACATAGAAAACCAAAGTAAACAAACTGAATGCACTAGCACCATCTCCTAACAACATTGATTTGTCTGGTACAAGTTTGCAAAACAATACTTTTAGCATTTGGAGAATTTCCCATAACAATCCTCTTATTGTTTTATCATATTCTCAAGTAATTCTAAGTCAACTCTATTGTTACTAAGGCCATTAAATTCAAGTTAATTCAGAACATACATTATTAGAAGTTAGAAGATGAGATCCTAAACCAATATGAATCTTTAAATGTTCCCAAAATAGCTTCTGATCTCTAAAATCAAACTTCATAGTAGTGAGGATCAAAGACTTAGAGTTTGGAAAAAATGTCCCAGTTATCATTCTCCATAATGTATCCCTCTCTTTTTAATCACAGTTTATATAAATGTCATTTGTATTGTCATTGTAATGTCATTTAAAAAGTGAAAAGATCATGAGGCCAGAGATCTAGAACAGGAAAGTACCTTAGAATCAAAGCATCAGAGAAGGATGGAACCTTAGAACTCATCTAGCCTAACTCCCTCATTATATGGATGGGAAAATGGAGGCCCAAAGAGAAACATTAAATGCCTTGTCCAAGGTCATAGAGATAGTAAGGTAGCAGGGCTAACACTCAAACTCAGGTCTTGAGACTACTGGAATATTGATCTTTCCACTGTTACTTTGTTTGCTTCTATATCATATTAAACAGATTGACTGATTTTAGGACTGGATTTGTATTTTCTCATTGCGTTGACCAGTTTATTTTTGGTATGGCATGAGATAAGACCTTTGTTTGTATTTAATTCTGTAGGCACTGTGATCCTTGAAGGCTTCCAATGGAAACACATTAATTTCCATAGGAAAATTCCTGTAGTATTAAAGCTTGGCCCAATTTTAAAAATAACTAGCATCTTAAATGAATGAAAGAAAAAGTATTAAGTGCTTACTCTGTGATAAAGTTAAAATCCACCCATCAAAATAAATTTCTTTTTACAACTGAAGATACCAGATATTTTTTAGCAGACACACTGACAATTGGAATACAAATTTTATTAATTTTATTAAGGTTTGAGAAGTATGAATATTTGAATGTAAAAGACAGTTATTGAATACTTTAATTTTCTTTACATTTTAAATAGTTTAGCAGTTCTTAAATTCGGATCTGAATTATAGCATAGCTCTAGATTCAGCTGATTGCTATTACCATTGAACTTTTAGGACATCACTAAAAGAATGATAGAACATAAGATTTAGAAGGTATCTTTAAAATCACCTGATCCAATAGTTCTTTATGGATGAGAAAACTGCAGCCCCCACAAGATAAATACCTTGCCTGTGATCAGACCAGTAGTTATACAATCTAGAAAGTCTTAACCTTAAAGTATGTACTTGAACACAGGCCTCTGTATTGCCAACCCAGTTCACTTTTTTGCTACCACTTCATTGTCTCATTAGAAGTCAATACAATTAGAACTGAAAAAAAAAAGGGCTGTGTAATAACACAACTAAAGTATTTGTTAGAAAAGATGAGCAAGCAGAGAATTTCAATACTGAAACCCATAATCTAATTCCCATTTACCCGTAGAAGGAAGCATATATTCTTACTATCACAAAGAAATCACAAAAAATCAAGCAGCACAAATCCTTATATGATGTAACTAGCTAAAAAATAAAAGCCTATTTATTCTAAAATATCTTGACTTCTGTATGCAGGCACAGGTATCTTTGAAAAAGAAGAAGCTCATCCATTAATGTAAACTCTTATGAAAAATAAATACTTGCCTCTTTTAACATTCTTTTTGTGGCAATGGAGATTGCCACAAACATACAATAAACATTAGTGACATACATAGGATAATTCTGCAAGATCAGAAGACATGTAAAACTACTAAGGAGAAACCACTGAAAATGCATTTTCCAACAGCACTCTTGCATCATGTGACACCTATTTACCAAAATTCTGGTTAACATTTTAGAACTCTCTTAATAAACAACTACTGAGATATTTTTATCTTCTAGGCAATTTATTACTGGTACTATCATATTTTTAATATTATGATGGCAAACCTTTTCCATCAATGGTATGTAATATAAATTGTTAGATGATTAATTAAGTAAAATATTCATCTTGGAAGACACTTGTCTATGTCAATTTTGTAGCAGAGAAAAACAAACTCCAAGAACCATTCACAAACTTCTCTGTGCCAATAGGATGATATTGTGGCCTAACGCAAATATAACTAAAACAAAAGCCAAGAGATGTTTACAGATTTTCCTATTCAAAATGACTGAGTCTAATTTAAATTAACAGGAGCAAGAGAGAGGTTTCTAAGCCGTCCAAGCCCTATCCAATATCCAACAACACATTTGTTTTGAATTAAAGGGGCACTTTCCTTAATGAAGTTATCTAATTTTAGCAAAACTGAAGAAAAATTTAAAATAGGAATAACAAACATAAGCAATAGAATGGGGTTAAGCTTAAATTATTTGGATAAAATGAATGAAAACATGTTTATAGATTACACCTATAAAATTGCTGGGGTGGAGGGGAACACCACATCCACAGTACAAAACATATTGCTATATATTTATTAGAAATGTTTCTCCTTACAATTATTATGCACTTTTAGCCCTGACTATAAGAAGAACAAAGTTAAAATGTTTCACCCACTATAAACTGAATTCAGAGACCAATATATACCTTTTTATAAGCCTATGAGAGGCAATGTGGAACTGTGGGGAAAGGAAAGCCCAGGCTCTAGAATCAGATAACCTGAGTTCAAATCCTGCTTCTGATGACAGCAACCTGAGTGATCTTCTCACTCAACTTCTCTGAGTCTTAGTTTCCTCATTTGTAAAAAGAGGAGGATTGGACTGGATAACTTTGGAATTTCTTTCTAGCTCTAGAAATATGGTTATCATGCCAGGTCACTAATAAAGTTTCACTAAACACTCATTACCCTGTAACTGTAAACATGTTTGCTAATGGGCAGAGAGAGAACCTTTATCCACATTGCAAGTATTTTAAAATAGCATAACATCTTCTATTTTAAAAAATAAAATGTGGTGTGCAACTAATATATACAAATCATTTCGTTATTTTTCAAAGTAAATTTATGTTTTTGGGGAAAAACAGATGTCACTCATATCTTTTCCCATAAAAATAGGAATGTTTAACCTATCAGCCTGTTGCGTTTAAGACGTTGAAATGAAAAATGACATCTACGCCCATTAATATCTTCAATGTATAAACAGCACAGCGTGACACATTCTTGAGAGCTGAAGGCTACAAAATCTCTCTGGAACATAAATAACAAAGCACTCAGAAGCATATTTGATGTTGATATTCATCTCTGAGAAAAACACTGCTGCCTAGGCTTCTTATGAAAATAGATACAGCCCAAATGGATCTCCTGTAATTGGTTTCAGATAGCGAGGTCAGAAGAAATATGATACAAGAAACTATTATGTGGAACAGGCAAAACGAGAGTGTTTACACAGGCGCTCCCCAGTTGTACTGACAAGGGGTGTATACTTTGTAGATAACCAGGACCAAAAAAAAAAATGCCAGGAGGACTCCAGATTCCTTCTCTTCACACTCACATATTGTAAAATGTAACATTTTACTTTGAATACTGAACAGAAAAACAAGTTTCCAAACAGAATTTCATA